ATAATTGCCAGCAATTAAAAAGCAAAAAAAAAAAAAAAAAACCAGTGTGGCCCTTTGGTTCTGGTACAGATTTCAAGGGAATACCTATGCCAAAATTAGAAAAAAAATGGAGTAGTATCCCCCTAAAATCCATACCAGACCCTTATCAGAGCATTCAGAGTAGGAAAGGGGGGGATGAGCGAGCACCCCCCCCAACCATACCAGGGTACATGCCCTCAACATGGGGGGGGTGCTTTGGGGCAGGAGGAGCTCCCCCAAAGCACCTTGTTCCCATGTTGATGGGGACAAGGGCCTCTTCTCCACAACCCTTGCCTGGTGCTTGTGGGGATGGAATTTAACAAGGGACCCCCAGATCCCGGCCTCCTTTCTATGTGAATGAATACTTATTCACCGAAAAGTGCTGAGAGAGTTAATAAAAACACAACAGTTTTTGACAAGTCCTTTATTAAAAAAAAAAAAAAAACGCAGACCCGAACTAAAAAAGAAAAAAAAAAAAATTCCACCCGATGAACATGACTGCTGGTCTGACAGGTAAACATAGGAGCGAAGGTTATTAGTGGTGGCAACTACTGTATGTTATTTTTTATGGTGGCACTCAGCTCTGGTACCTCAATCCCCCTGGTGCACAGCATGTCTGTGGGCTGTAGGCACCATGTAGCAGTGGGGTGCCAGACACAGGAACACTCCTTGTTCCAACACCAGCACTCACAGAAAGATTGTACTGTGGGTGGAATCATCTCCGTCCACAGTACAGGTATACTCCTGGCCTAGGGAATGGGAGAGCGGCACAGGATCATGTGATGGGTAACTGATCATGAGGGTTGGGGGTTAACTGTTAATGCCACAAAAACTTCCAATATTGGGTGGGGTGGTAGGGAGGGGGTAAACTCTCACCATCAATGAGGAGGGGGGTAATATTCATTGTCATGACCACCAATGCTGGGGGTTATTTTTGTATCCAGTGATACCAATTCTGGTGGAAATTATTGCATTAATTACATCAGTGCTAGGGGTTATTATTGCATTCACTGACACCAATGTTAGGGGGGTTATTACTGTACTCACTGCCATCATTGTTGGGGGTTATTATTGCATTCACTGACACCAATATTTAAGTTATTGTACTCCAAATTTGTCAGTGTGCATTGCAATACACTGTGTATTGCATTGGCGTCAATGAACATTGAGTTCATCGATACGAATGCAGGAAGGGGGTTATTACTGTGTTCACTAGCACAGTGCTAGAGGTTAATATTGCATCCACTGGTACCAGTTCTGGAGATTATTGTTGCATCCACTGATACCAATGCTGGGGGTTATCATTGTATCCACTGACACCAACTCTGGGGGTTATCAGTGCATCCACTGAAACCAATGCTGGGAGTTATTATTGCATCCACTGACACCAATGTTAAGGGGGTTATTACTGTACTCACTGCTGTGAATGTTGGGGGTTATTATTGTATTCACTGACACCAATATTTACATTATTGTACTCCAAATTTGTCAGTGTTCTTTGCAAAAAAATGAGGCAGAACCAGAATTTTTTGCCACTGAGATGCAAAAATGTGCAGCTATTGTGCTGACCTCTGTAGATGTCCAACGCTGCACTTGAGACTCTCTATAATTCTCCAGTTGACCACCACTAACCATGTCCTGACTGCACTTATCATTTGTAAACATGTAGTAAGCGATGGCGGCCATGTAACTTCTAAGGCCCCTTTCACATGGGCAGACTGATCAGGTCCACCTGTCAGTTTTTAGGTGGACCCACCCGTTTTCATCCAATCCACTAAAAACAGACGGATCAGATTATAATGCAGTCAGGTGTAAATGGGCAGGCGGACCGTCTACATCTGACCGCCCACAAAGGAGAGTGGGCTGTGTCTGTGCTGATCAAGCAGACTCCTTGGAACCCCCCTCCCCCCATATAGAAGGGGCCTTATAGTGGTACTAAGCTCTGGTACTTCTAGTCTGCCATGTTCTAAAAGCACCTATATTTTGCATTAGCTATTACTTTAAAGATATTAGTGGTGGCAGCCATGTTGCTTCTCATGCTTGTAATGCTCTGGCACAGACCCCCCCCCCTATTCACAAATAGTCAACCTACTGTTCCCCAGGGATGTCAACATGTATCTCCCTTTGTTCTTGGGGACACCTGGTAGTCCTATTTTTCCATAACACCTTTGCCATTATTACTGCTTTATTTAGAATACATATATTTCATTTACTAAAATTGGAGAGTGCAAAATCTGGTGCAGCTGTGCATAGAAACCAATCAGCTTCCATTTTTTTCCTCAAAGCTTAATTGAACAAGCTGCATTTAAAAGCTGCACCATATTTTGCACTCGCCAGTTTTAGTAAATCAACCCCATTGGGTCTTATGCATTATTATGGTATTACTAATAAATGGAGCTATTTTCCCATGGCTACCGGTCGGATTAGAATTGTCAGGTCAGATGTGATGTTGATTGTTGGCTCAGTGAGAAGTTTTTTTTTACATTTCTTCAGCTACTTCCTGGTTTACAGGCCTACGAAAATGATTTCATACATCCCAGGAGTCTTCAGGAGAAGAGGAGGGGCTTTCTCAGCTAAGCACATCTACCTGTCTGCATGCCTGAGCTAAGGGCAGATGGATTCCTGGAAGTAAATGCTACATGAATCATCTGCCTTTGCTCAAGATGGCCATGGTCAGAAATGCAGCACAGTGGCTAAATGGTTAGCACTTCCACCTGGCAGTACTACAATCATTGGTTCAAATCCATGGCACCACCTGCCTGGAGTTTACATGTTCTCCCTGTGCCTGCATGGGTTTCTTCCGGGTACTCCTGTTTCCTCCCACACTCCAAAGACATGCTGGTATGTTAATTGGCTCCTGTCTAAATTGGCCCTAGTATGTGTATGTATGAATGTAAGTTAGGGACCTTAGATTGTACGCCCCTTGAGGGTTAGGGACTGATGTGAATGTACAATATATATGTAAAGCGATTCGTAAATTGACGGAGCTATACAAGTACCTGTATTAAATGCTAGGGAGTGTCATGGAGACATGGATAGCTGGGTGAGTTTGCTTTAAATACTAAAAATGAACTAAATAGTGTTTTTTGCTTTGTGGCGCTCAGATACAGTGTAGCTCCACTTTAATTTAAGGTATCAAACCACTAACTTCCACTATATACTACCTGCGTCGGCAGCCTGGTGTAAAGAAAAAACCTTCACTAGTTTCAGTATTTACTGAAAGCTACAGTCTTGCCATAAATTTGTAATATTTACTTTAATAACTAATGCAGTCTGAAAAAATTTACTATACCTACAATAACAAAAATACAAAAATTTACTATACCTACAATACAAAAAAAAGCTCCTATAAAAGCCCTAACAAACTAATTCCACATAAAGCTGAATGAAAAAGGTCTTATCAGACAAAATACTGTATTTTCATAATTTCCTGACAAGCTAGATTTATTACTGTCTTGACCAAGCTATTAGAATCTTGTGAACTTTATTAGAATTAAAGGTATAATCTGACATGTTTAATTATAGCTATTATGTAAGTATCCAATATAAAAAGTCACTGATCACACAAAACATAATTTTAAATCTTATTTATTAATTTTATATTTAAAATTACAAAATTCTGGTCTGCAACAGCAGTGCCAGATCGCATCCGGGCAGCATATAATAAAGCAGAATAATATTAAGACACAACAGCCACGCTTACATCTTTAAATACTTTCGATAACTTAAGTAAACTCACAGAAAATATATATATCGGATTCATACATCTTTGGAATAGAACACAGACTTTCACAGCGCAGATAGGCAGAAATAACACATACAAAAAAAATATATATTACATTTGTAACCCATTACTTTTGTCAAACAGAGAAAATATTATCTTTCCTTGCCTGGCAAATACAGGGCATAGAAAGGGGCGACCACTTCTAAAGAAAAAAATCTTTAGTAAATTGCTTAAAGCAATTTAATGTTGATCTAATTTTGTAAACACGCAGGAACCAAGCTGAACAATAACCGTTGTTGGCCAGCAACAGCAGTATACAAGAAGGGACAAGGACGGAGGGGGTAGAACATTAAAATACAAAATAAATACAATATAGGATTTTGTGGAGAGGGATAAATATATTGCTTTGCCTACTACTTATGAGCCTCTGTGAAGTAAAAACATCACAAAAACAACTATAAAAAAGGTGGTAAATTACAAAAATCATCCCATAGCAGTCAGAAGGATTCAAAATATTTGAAAGCCCTGTCTCATTTGTTGCTATGGGTAACCCTTCCACACCACTTTTTTAAAAAGATGAGGCCATATGGTTGTCTTGAATAGTCCAATTTCAATTTTATAAGCTTGTGTTTTTGTTAAAACGTCAAAACACAGATCTGGGGTTGAGACAACAATACAGTTGTGTTGTCCATAAATAGTAACAATGCAAGGTGTTATAAAAATAAACACATAAGTATTTACATGAAAAATGTTTGGGACAAGAGTCCGGTAACTTTAAACCACTTCAAACCCCTACAGTTTTCTGTAGGTATTTCTAGCAGCAAAAAGGGTTGGACTTGGCTCTCCAAAGCCAAAAATTAGCCACAATCTTCTTCCCCCAGAACATGTCCATGTGAATCCAAGTATTAAGTCTAAGCTTTCACATTCCAAAACCACTTTAATCACATTAATTGATGTTGGCAAGCGTCGATGGCATCTGTTTGGTGGAGATATCTAAGAAGGTCATCAAGTCTTCCAGTCACCTCCATTTTTATCAACAGCTCAGACTGGTGTGCTGGACAACGTATAAAGTTCATCTGAGTTCTGAATTATACATATCCAGCTTTACAATGGCCTTGTTCCAACTCCAGGAGCACCTTATTGGTACAGACTGAACACGGCATCCTTTGCCTGTAGACTTCAGTTGTCCGACCATCAACAAATCTTGACCATGTAAGACTTTCTCAAGTTTGAGGGTATAGCCCCAGGCACGGACAGCTCAGATAAGGATCTCAACCATTTCAGAAACATTGGAGCTTTTAGTGGAGGACACTGTTTCTGTAAAAAAGAAAAAGAAAATGGGTAAATGGTAGATCCCATGCAAATGTAAAATTGGTCACGTTATAACTGCAGTAAAGGCAGGAGGAGGGATCACCTATAGTAGCTACATTCTGGTGGTTACTGTTTTAGGGCAGACTTAAAGTGATTGGTTATAAGGCAATAAGCTCCCTATTTAAAGCATAGGCCTGAATGGTATAGAATTAATATGCTGCAATATCATTTATGGAGCCCTAACATGTGCTTAAAGCATGTTAATGTGTCCTCTAGGGCACCTTAAGTGTTATGTAGTATTGTACGTCATTGCAGAATGGTGAATGATGAATCAGGACCAATGTGTTTAGTTTTAAACATGTTTATGTCACAATATTCATCAAACAAAGTTCATATTAAGTATTTAAATATCATGCTAAGGTATTTGACTTCCACATTAGTAAGATTTCAGTTGAATGCTTGATGTCTTAACGGCTGTAATACTCAATCACAATAACAAACTGGTCATAGTAAAACGATAAGAATAATTCAAAGTATTAAACTGATGTGTTAATTACATGCAGTGCTATCATTTCATATGCATTTGACACACACTATATTGTAATATTTGAGATGCCAACATAGGAATGGCAGCAGACTGATAGACATTAATATAAAGTCTCTTAGCATCCTGTCAGGCTCATAGTAAATTGTTTCTGCATGACTGGATTATGTGCCTAGCTGTAGATCTGCACCCGCGTTATTTTTTTTCTGATTCAGCCTTCACAAAGGCCTTTGAATGTATAAATGAAGCAATCATGTGACCAGTCAGTATGTGGACACATACAGTAAAAAATGAGTGAATTCCACACAATGAACTATAACAAGTATAGACAGTGCGTCTGCTTGTAATCTGAAAGCTTGTATCACTGCCTGTGATAGACAGACAGAATGATGCATCGAGCGCTTCTGGGCATTTACATTGGTCTACTATGTGTCGACATCCTAAAAGGAGTATGTGGGGTCACAATGGCCCGTTTTCATTGGTTGAGGGGGAGGACATTCCAGAGATGCCTGTGGCTTTGGATGGTAAGCAGATATACTGCATCTTCTCAGAAAGAAGCAAATGGTGATGTGAAAGTATGGCGGTGGTTGAGCAACTCGGGTAGTGGGAAATATGAGTCGGCCAAAAGGCTTCCAACATTTCTTTAAACATGGAGCTACTCTGAAAAGGTTAGATTTTGCCTGCTGAGACAGAAATCCATTTGGGGACCTAAATGTTGTTAAATTTTCCTGCAAAAAATTTCTGAATACCAGTAAAAGAAGTGAAAAAATATTGGAGTTTATTCCATTAGCTATTAATCACTTATCTTCTTATCGATTTCCATTACTGACTATACATGGCTATGAAAATCTGGTTGGTAGGGAGTTGTTAACAGTACTATTTACGTAGCCCCCATTACATAAATGGGATCTAAAATATTTATTTCTTTGAACATGTGATCAGTTTGTGCCACTGTACTGCAGTATGGCATATGTTAGCTCTCAATTAATTCCATGATCTTTCTTTCATACACTAGCTATGCTCCCTTCCCCCTTCCTCTCAGTCTCTTGGCCTCACACCTGCATTCTGTTCCCAGCTGCATAGTTGAGATTCATTGAGATTAGTCATCACCAAGGGAGGCCAAGCCTTGGCAGGGATTGTGTGAGGAGAAAGCTCTCAGCTATGCAGGGCTCGGCACGGGCTCAGCCTGGGGGAGGGGAGGTGAGCGAGTGCAGCTCCTGCCATTGCGAAACATCCTATGAACATCAGCCTCGCTCAGTAGGCGCTCACTAGGTAAAGAAGAGGCACTCGTCCTACCTACACATCATCCAGACTTGTTTTAGCCAGGAATTAGTGATGAGCTGGTACCCAGGGGCAGTATTTGAAGGGAGAAAATGCAATGCTTACTGACATGTTTTATATTTCTCTGAATTAATGTGTGGTCCAAACATACCTACAGCTCTTAATCCAAATGCTGTTTTGTGAGAACTGCCATTTCTGGTATAAATGTGAAAAGTCATAATACTAATACTACAGCCACCGGTTTTGATGAAAACCAGGGTTCTCAAGTTTTCTCAAAAACAAAAAAGCAAAGAAATGCCTAATTTATTGCCTTTATAGACATCATGTTGGGTAAACTTTCCTGTGTTAGACCCCTTACACAAGGGTGGGCTGATCGGGTCTGTCTGTCAGTTTTTCAGACAGACCTGATTGGACCATCCATATGTATGGATCAGCGGATGTAAACGGACATCTGTCTTTTTACATCTGCCTGCATTCGTTTCGCTAAAAACAGACAGATGGGGATCTGTTCCTCATCCATCTCAGATGACAGTTGGATGTAAAGGGACAGACAGTCTGTTTACATCTGACTGCCCATAGAGGAAAGCAAGCTGTGTCTGCTCTGCATAAGCAGAGCGGACATGGGCCTGTCACCCACCTGCTCAGTGGGGATCAGCAGACAGATTCCTCACTAAGCAGGCTGATCCACTGGCAGAAAGAGACCTTGCTCATAAAAAAAAAACAATCAAGTTCTAAATGTCACTCCAGTGTAAGTATAAGTAGAAGGAAGACTGCTACTGCGAGTAGCAAAAACAACTCTTTCAGACAAGAACAATTACAACCCAAACATCTGTGGGTACAGCACACAACCAAGATGTGGCCCTTACCTAGTGAAGACGAGGTATTCCTGTCCAGAATACAGTCTGTCACACTTATTGGGTCTGTTGAATACTCTGTCTGAGTGCTACCATCTTTGCTGCCATGTTTGGCGTGAACAGGCATGGTGGTCATGTTGGCAGATGGTGATTTACATACTGAAAGACATGAGAAAGAAGACCAAATAAGTATTGCTGAAAGTACATCATAAAAACTCTAATACGTTATCCATCTCATTTGACATAATCTGCTGTAATCACCTGGTACTCCTTGTGATGTATTGTTCACTTGTCTTTCAACAGCTGCTAAGTTTGGGCTTGGCACAGATGGAGTGAATATGGAAGGCACTGACTTAGCAGGTCGCAGGGGGCCCTGGTGAGGTTTACGTTGCTGTAAGACTTTAATGACTGCATCCTTCTCCAGTATCTGTGCATGTAGAGCTTTGATTCTGGTAACAGAACAACAGAAACACGTAGGTTAGAAAAGAAAAATAGACTGTAGGAGCACAAAGCTAGAATAAATTCAACAGTTTTACAGAAGGAAGTGGATCAGACCTACCTGTTCTCCATTTCTTGGTGCCTGTGGCTGACTATTAACAGGTCCTCATTGAAGCTATTGTTTGGCGAATGGCGAGGTGAGTGGTTGATAATGGTAGTGTCTCTCTGAGCTGCTGCAGTGGCTGCAGCATCCATGGCAAATTGGCGCATAGTGCGTTCTTCCAAATACTTCTGTTCCCACTTGGTCATGTCAGCCTCCAAAGCCAATATCCTTTCTTCCTTCTCCCTCAGTTGCTCAGAAAGAACCTGGACAGAGACTTCCGGAGAATGGCTTCCATTTTGTGACACTGGTTGTCTCTGTTGGAAGAGTTATTGGAATGAGTTTTCCTTTTGTTTAGAGTCATGTGGATTACAGAACATACAATAAACATATCATACCTAGCAGTGGCATAAAACTCACCTGCTGAGCCCTTAGGTTTTTCAACTCCTGCTCCAATCTCGTCCGCAGGCGCAATTCCAGCTGTTCCCTCTTTTCGCAGGCAGCCTGAAGCTGGCTTAATGCCTGCTGTAGTCTTTCCACTTTTTCCACATACGCCCTCTTCTTGCGCAGCTCATCCTCAGTGCGAGCGGCTGTGGACTGGGCATTACTCAAAGCCTTTTCCAGAAGCTCTGCCCTTCGGCGCTGGTCATCATTGGCACTTCGCAAGAGGAAAATCTCTCTCTCTAGCTTCTCTTTCTCTAGCTGCTGTTCACGGCCTGCAAGGAAGAACAGAAAGGTCATCTATAACTTTGTACTTCTGTAGGCACATATACTTTTTAGATAGAATGTCCTTATTTGCTCCTAACTTGCTAGTACAGTCCTTGATTGGAAACAAATTTGGAGAATGGACATGGAGTATCACAGTATCTTTACTATGTCAGCTAGCATTCCTCGCCGCACATGCTTTAGGTTTCATTTCAACATCGCTTCACATCTTAAAGTACACCTGTCAGCTATTCTGTGCAGCCACACTCAACTTGCATATTAGCTGTTCCTAGTGAATTTATAGGTCAAGGTCATTACTTATTTATAGTGAGTGCAGCAGATTTCAGTTTAAGATTGAAGCTTGGAAGCTGTTTCTGGTGGGAAGATCATTGCAGAAACAAACATACACCCAAGAAACAAATACAAAACGGCTGCAAACAGACTAGTCATTATATGCCTAAAGAGTTTTGGAAAGATGCTTTCAAAAAAACTTCACTTCTAATCACAAAGAAAAGACCAGTGAGGTTCTAAATGATCAGCAAACACTGAGATGGGACCCTTTCAGTATGATAAGCTGTGTACATAACCAAGAGCCCTATGAGATTTGGAGATGTTTGCATGAGCTTTGTGTGTTTGTGGAATGACCTAAACAAGAGCGTTTCTTAAAGTATGTTAAACTTGACTGCTCCTGTACTGTTCCATGAAAAGGTTAAGCAAACATTCAGGTTCCCAGGCTTGGAGCAGTCAGATAGTTGGAACATGACAGCTCAAGGATGTATATCCTGGTAGGACCAGTTCTTCCTGGTGGTGGTTCCAACTATCCCAGCAAGGAAATGCACTAGAACACCAGTTTATTGTGGCTGTATGTATAAGGGATCAGGAATAATATGCCTTAACTGAGTGTAGATTTTTCTCAGGAAAGCATCCAAAGGAATCAGAAACCCAAGCCTAATGAGTGGCTTGGAGCACCTGTATGTCTGGTCAGAAGATCAGTCCTTTCCAACATCTGTCTGTTTTCTTATGCTAAATTAACCGAGTTTCATTAGCATACCTTTGTATTACCAGCATATATAAGAAGTGTTGACGATGCCTAGTTAAAGGTAAAGCCACAAATTGTTCTGCAATATTTCTACAATTTTCCGGCATAGAAGATAATGTGTGCAATAAACGAATTTAGTCATTAATGATTATAGAATTATGTGTAAATAATACACATTTTGCTTTCTTTGGGTTTTTTTCTATTGTATTATGCACAGTAAACAAAAATTCCTATCCTGTTAACCCATGCAGTGCAAATGTCTTATTTATTTTTCATGCACTCCTCTTCCCTCCTTGTGCGGAGAAAAGGAGGGGGCTGGGCAGATAGGCTACTGGAATGTGAAGAATTCAGGTCACATTGAACTCTGTTTGTTTGCTAAAGCAACATAATCTTTTCTTCAGGAAGCAGAGAATAGACACACCTCCCCAGCATCCTTAAAGGTGCGTTAGGTCAAATCCCACGTACATAGCTCAGGCTAAAAAGATGTTTGTTTATCAAGTCCGATGAACCCAGTATTACTCATTTTAACTGTGTATTTTGACTGGTAGGGTCAATCACACCACAAGTTGGAAATAATCTCTTATATTTGTTGAGAAAATATGTATTTTTTTTTAAATAGTTGAGAACTCTATGGTTAAATGATTTCTAAACCTAAACATGTAGCCTCAAACGAAAGAATTATTAAATAATACAGAACTATTTTTAACATTTATGAAATTATTCGCAAAATTGGAAGACCTATCCCAGCTCAAAACATTAAAGAAAAAAACTTTTATAGTGGGGAACAAAATTTGGTGATATACAAGAAGAGTCATGTTGAGTTATTGCAACGTAGAGCAGCTTATGATGGTCGATAGCCTACAATAATATGATCTATACTGAAAATACTTATTATATGTATGCTGCAATATGTTAGCATAAACGTTAAATAAATGGTTCTGAATGTTGTGAACCTCTTATTGTATTTATGTGGATTTACTGGCCCACTTAGTAGTCTAGTCTCAAGTATATTAACTTACACTGAGCAAGCAGTTTGGACACTGTTCCTTGACTGTCTTCCCTCTGCTCCACATTCCGGGCAGCTAACTGTCTGTTTGCAGTTTCCAGCCGTTCTAAACAAAAAGACAATAGGAAATGTTAACAGGATAGGTTCACAAAATTACAATCTCATTCCATTTGAGATCCCACAGTGCTATCAAACATTCCTTTCCTAATAAGAGGGACAAATTATTTTTCGGCTCACTCTACTGATGTGGCCTGCTTTCAAAATAACCTGTCTTAAATCTGCATTTAGCAGTGTTCTGGGATGTTTTATTTTAGAAATTATTTCAAGAGATTGCAATTAAAATCATGCTGAAGAGCTATATAGGTTAATGAGTTTTGTCAGAAAAGCTCTATTGTTGTCCCTGAGCCCCTGCTGTCTGATATCTCCTGCTACATGGTTGTTTAAGACCTTGATGCTCTTAGAAGACAGAGTCCACTCACTTAAGCCTAATATCTGTTGTAAAAGGCTAACACTGATTGATAGCTTCACCACAGCATGCTATTGTTGTAAAAGCTCCTTCACTTTGCTTGAGATCCCTCACCTCTTAGGTCACGGTTGAAGTCCTGCATGCGCCTCATCTCTCCTTCCATCTTGGTCCTCATGGCATTCTCAAGGGACTCCCGCTTCGAGGAAGCTTTCATGAGATTTTCATAAGCTTCAGAAATTCGCTGAATTTCAGTTTCCAGCTACAAAATCATAAAGTGAATGTCAAGATTATCGGAATGATGATAGCACAGCATAAAATAGTTTATTTAATAACAAAGAAAATATATGTATATAATGCAAAACAGAGTGTACAGTAATACAAAAAAAAGTAATTTACAGATCAGAATTTTTGTATCTACAATAACCTGATGAAACTTAATTTTGTCAAGCTGCCATAAAACATAGAACGCTGTTGCTATTTGCATCTTGCTATTAAATATGCCCCATTTCTTGCAACAAATCATCACACTTAGCTTAATTGTCACACATTAACAAAATGTGGTGAGAAAAATCCACAGCTTAGTAAGAACATCATTATAAATAAGGTCCTATGTACATAATGGTCAAGGACCAGTATATATCTATTGTAGTCACAGCTGACTGCTTGAGATAATTCACATCATTTTCGTAACCAAAAATGTGTACGTATTCAAGCAAGATTCTTTCAGTTGATTTTTTTTTTCAACTCTGGCAAATGCCATGCTAAGCTATGGTATTGCTTACATTTAAACACTGTCTGCAGATTCAATGCCACCTGCTTGTCTGGATTGCACATTTGCTAAAGGCTGGACCCCCCCCTCCCTATTTCTTACAGCCAAGGCCTTACTAACACAGCCACCTTTTCATCCCTACACAATGGCTCATTGATGCCGCATCAGGTCAGCTCAAGCAGAACACAAAACCCGAGCAACTGTCAGCGGCCCTGAGCTCTACGTGTGCCTCCAACAAATGTCTCATAGCCAGTCCATTGTGCAAAGATCCCTCACAGCTGTTAAAGGGGAGACTATAGGGAAGGGGGGTTGCAAAGAAAGTGAAAGAGATGACAAAAAACGAAAGACATCCCACCCTCTCTGACCAGCTGGGAAACCTACTACAATACCCTGTTTGTTAAAAGGAACTGTGTTTTCCAATGTTTATGGGTTGAGACTGTGTGTAGGAGAGGCAGCTGCTAAATTCCAACTGAGATACCTGCTGCACTTGCCATCCATTCCTAATGAACACCCTTAGTCTCTACAAAACTCTGTTTTTATATATACATCTCTTTTACTACACTGAAGATTGACTGTCGCTTCAGTACATTTATTTAGTTATCAGTGCTGTCATATCAATACAGAAGTGTGTTTTAAACAAGGGTAAGGAAATGGACATAGCTTGCTCAGATCAACAAATCAGAGCCCTCTATGGAACAAAGCCAGCTTGAATGTGATTGGTTGCTATATACATTTTGCACCCCTCTACTTCCATATCCACAAAGGTCCTTTTCGCTTACCTTCTGGATCCTCACTGCTTTCTCGCTGTAACTCTCAAGCTCCCGGCGTAACTTTTCATTCTCTCGCAGTAGAGCATCCATTCGTGCCATGTGTGTACCTGCTGCATTAAAAGGTGCCATCTGCCCATAGTGTAGATTTGGATCTGGCATCGGCCTACAAGAAACAAATGAATGCTTATGTTTAGATATCACAAGCAGAAGTCTCAAAGCAATAATAAGGTGCTGTTTTATCATGGAATATAAAAATGATGAAGGTACTTGAATTCCAAGTGTAGTCAATGACTGATGGTTCTTAAAGCCTCAAATGAACCAACATGCTTAGGTGTACATTGGACACATTTTATAACACTTATTGAAAGATTAACTTTAGAACTGAATGCAGGGCTTGTGCAGTCTTGCACTCTCTACACTACTGGAACATCTATCATTCTAAATCAGTATTCAGAAGCATCAGGCACACATCCAAAAACAATGCACTAACTTCTAAAAATAACCAATACGAGATCATACAAGACAAGGTCTCTCTACTAAACCTTTACACTTTCTACATGATTGTGAATGTTAAAGCTGGAATTTATATTGATCAGGGGCATAGCAAATCAATAAGTAAAAGAACTTCCTGTAAACACTATCAATCTGGCTTATCCAGTATCCACACCTTATAATCCAAATTCCATTCTAGATTCCAATGTCTGGAAGGAAGATATTAGGGTTAGGTGGGCTGCCTGAAGCCAGTCTCACAGGCCATCCTTTTAGACTCAGCTGCCTAGAACTTTAGGAATTGATGATGTCCTATCACAATGGAACTGGTATTTCCGTTAATGGATGTTGTTGCTGCCAAAGGGGTAACAAGAATTAACATGGGAACAGATTCTTTCATTGTGAGACTGGACATTTTTCTTAACCATTATCTTCCCCCACTGACTTATGGAGCCACTTCCTGTCTCTGTCTATCTCTTCCTGCGTGAACAATACAGAATTGTTGCAACCTAGCCAGACCAATGTTTATTGTCAGGGATCTCTTAAAAGTCAAACACACCAGAGTTAAAAGGGATTCTCTACACCCCCATTTAAGGCAGCTATTAATACTATGGCATACCTACTACGTGCGTAAAAACATCTCTATGTGTAGGACTGAAGAGAAAAATTCTTTCTGCTTGTTATCTGCTCTTTCCTGAAATGCTTAATATAGACTGTAGGATTAGGACTCCAGTTTACTTACAATAATGCGTAGGTAGCATACAATGAAACTGCTAGCGGCAGAACTTTTTCAGCAGGCTGGACACTTTCAGAAATGGCCAATTAACAGCCATACAAAATTTTAAAATATCTTTGCTGTCCAAAGGAATTTAACAATGAAAAGAAGTCAAAGTCTGAAACATGTAACAATGTCAAATATATGAATTGACCAAAATTGTGACTTTGGACTTTTTTGTTGTACATGTATTTATTTAAATTAATGGATGCCAGAACAAACCTAGACTTTAAAAGATACACAATCTGTCAAAATGCTCCTCTCCTGCACATTAGAGTGTTCTGTAGAGACATAATAATGATGGTTTAGGTATCTGTGCTTACCTGATTTCATGCTGATGGTACAGAGGGAGGTCTCCTGAATAGCGTCTCTGCTCTGAAACATAACCACTGAGATTAGGGTCAGGTTGGTTGTAACTTGGGTAATCAGGAGGAGCATTCCTATACTGCATTCCTTCTTCCTGTTGTCCACGAGCTACTGAAAGCTGGTACTGCCTTGGAAGCTGGGGAAAGCTATGAGAGGATGTCATAAGGTTTTGCGGTTTAGCACCATTGCGTTCTAGAGACATTTGCAACAACCTTTCACTCAAAGACCTAACATGGCCATGCTTCAGCTCCATGAGTGACTGATCTTGGCGTAGAGGAGCATGTTCTACCTTCTGGATATTTTGAGCTGCATAGTATTGAGACAAGGCAGCTTTGGCTTCTTCATAGGTTGGAAGCTCCTCACCTTTATGGTGGTACTCATGAGCTTTATACATAGGATTCTCCAGGTAAATATGGTCACAATGGTGTTCCTGCCCTTGAGGCTCCTGTCTTGTAGAAGGGCTACCCTGCATCTCCTCCTGTTCAAGGCTTTCCAGGGATGATCTGGGGCTTCCGCTGCCCCCTCCAGCCCGTAAGGCCTGTTGCTGAATTGCTAACAAGGTACGATTTTCACTCAAATTTCCATATCTCAGCTGCTCCTGGATAAGACGATGAAGAACTGTTCCAGACGAATCCTCTGCTGTTCTCATCCTTGCTCAAAAAAGAAATAATCCCACCAAGGATGATGAGCTATCAACACTGGACAATAATCCTCCTCCAAATCTTCTGATCTATGGAACTGCTGTGAGAAGCCTGTAAAGGAAAAGGAATACAAGTTTAAGGAAATTTATTGTGATGAGATGATACGTATAGACCTACCATCACTGGTCACATCTTAAAGAAAACAATTCACATTTCTTTCTTTATGTTTTTTTTTTTCCTCTCAAAAAATGCTTTTCAAAAAGGTGAAAAGGACTAGATAAGATCAGAGACTTCCTTGTATGTAGCTTAAGGCTGAAGGATCTTGATTATTAGTGAGTATTCAACTGAAATTGACATGAAAGGACTGACCTTGATGGCACCTTGTTGTGGTTAATTGCACATACCTTTCTACTGCTCTTGTCCCTCAACTCCTGCTGTTTCACAGCAACCTGGAAAGGTAAGACTTTGCCCTGTTTTGTTTTTAGGAGGAGGAGGGGGCTGTATTAATGATTGGAATGTTTCCCTCCTCTTTCTAAGTAGATAAAGTCCAGTATTTCTCTGGTATGCCCCCCTGCAGCTTCTGTTTTGGAGCCCTCCCATTGAAAGCCAGATATTAGTTGAAGTTGAAAAGAGATTCACACAGCAATGTGGACTTCAATGAGCTGGAGTTGTGGGAATTCTACAAGCACTACATAGTCTGCAAAAACAACAGTTTTCCTTTTCTTTACAAGCAAACCTATCAGGTTTTCAGATTTGTACTGCAACCTTTGTACCACTACATTGCCACCAATTGGAAGCTGTGGCCTAAATATACATGACTTTCCACATTCTACAAATTGCTGCATATTACATATTTACAGGATGACTTTATTGGCCACAAACCTGTGGCTTTCTTTGCTCGCTTAACGCACAAAGACTATTTTTTTTTCCACGGCGTAGGAGATGTTACCACCTCACAAATATCTAAGATGTGACATCACCAGGCCCTTTGTGTTGCAATTGACATTCTTTTTGGATTGTAGCCCTGCCACAAGTGTACAAAAGCTTGTGCTAAAAACAAGAACAATAACAAAAAATACCCCACTGAATTCCTCCGCCATTGCCAGGGGTGACCAAACACCTGCATATCTTCCCATTCAAGAATGCGCCATGCTTAACCCTATCCAGGCAGACCATAAAACGAAAAGCACGCCAAGTGACTAGCTACATATACAATGCCATATAAACACTTTTACGAGGACAACAAGCACACAGAGCACTCTGATAAAAAGCTATATGTCAGCAATTGGCCAGTCCTGCCTGTTAACCAAAGCAGGGGCAGTAGCAGGAATTCCAGATCCAACAGATAATGAAGTACCTGTTATATATGTATATAGGCACATGTGCACATTGGAGTATACATAATATAGAAATGCCTATATATATATATATATGTGTATAAAATATATATATATATATATATATATATATATATAAAAAAATCATATAGAAATGTGTACCATATATGTAGATAAACATACACACACATTGCAGTATTTATAATATAGAAATGTATGCTTTATATGTATATAAACATTCATGCACATTGGAGTATACATTATATATGAAAAGGCATGCTATGTGTGTATATATATATATATAATAATTATTATACAGGATTTATATAGCGCCAACAGTTTACACAGCACTTCATAAAATGAGGGTAGACATTACAGTTACAATACAATTTTATACAAGAGGAAACAGAGATACGAAATCATATAGAAATGAATGCTGTCTATGTATACAGACACATGCAAAATCACAGAAATATTTGCTATACAAGTATATGAACACACATAATTATATATATATATATATCTGTACGAAATGTATTGAAATTGTACTGTCTCTCTTATATTGTAAAGCGCTGCGCAAACTGTTTGCACTATATAAATCCTGTATTATAATAATAATAAAAAAAATATATATAAAAGAGAGAGGGGGAGAGACTCATATAGACATTGGTGTATACATAATTTAGAAATGCATACTGTATATGTATGTAGACCCACACAGTCATTAAACATAATATAGAAATATATACTATACAAGTACATGGACACACAAAATCGTGTGTAAATATATATAGATATTGGGGAGTCCTTCTATTGGGTGACCATGAACATACTTCTAAATCCTCACACTAACATATGTCCTGAGCAATACACAGATATGAAGCATGGTGTGCACCTTGTATGTATACATTGTTGCACATGTGATGACTGTATCAGTAAATGCCGAGTATGGGGTAGTCGGGTCACCTATGAATAAATACATGTCCTAGTTGTACGATCCCTCTCCAATGTGCCCCGTGTTGTACTGTACAAGGGCAGAGCTATGGAGGTGCCTAGGTGTAGGGATCGGTGGGCAGCACACGTGTCCCTGCATCCAGGATGGGAGCCCAGTGACAGGCATGCAGCGGTGATGAGGATGTCAGTGGCACTCACCAGGTCATATCGGATGGGGCCCCAGCATGTGACAAGTCCCCGGTGCAGTGCTCAGTGCGGGGCTCAGGCTGTGTTCTCTCGGAGCGCTCTGATCACACTGAGTGCTGGCTGATGGCAGTGGCCGGCCTGCTCTCTCGCTCTCTCTAGCTGTGCTATGCCAGGAATGTGAGAGTTTCAGGCTCCCCCTGGGATAAAGGCAAAGCATACAAAACCTACAGCCTGGACCGCCCCTTGCCACGCCCCTCACCGGACCGTGATCTCCGCCCCTCCACTTTCTCCAGGAGCTGCACTTAGCAGGACAGGCCAGTGGGGGCAGCATTCCACCGGGCTGGGGAACGCGGAGCGCTGTGTACAGGCAGACAATGGGTGACTACGCTCAGCCTCACTTCTACGATGGGACATGCGATGCGGGGCTTTGTACGAGTCGTGTGGAGGAATGGCCGTGACATATTTTTATTTGCACTAACAGTTACATTTTAAGGACCAGCTTTTGGGTGAATCTCCTTTTTCTGCGGTCCTAGCAAGGGGCATTAGCAAAATGGAAAGCTCTTGATGCCCAGGTAATGCACATGTGCAGCACATCTATGCGTCAATGGGCAGCAGAGTCATCTGTACTTAGGCTCCAAGTACACGGGATGTTTGGAAAACACTTCTGAACAATGGAAACTGACTGCTTTAAAACGTAGGTTAAAGAACGGCTAAACCGCGTTTCTGCGCGTTTGCATTTAGAAGCGTTTTTTTAAAGCTAACCCCAGGAGACCTTCCCAAATGCCCAGAAACAGTAAAAAATTAACTATTTCAGACATTTTGAGAGGAATAGAGAGAGCAGAAGCAGGGAGAGCCGTATGTGTTGAGATTACCTGTCTTTTCTGGTTGTATTCACTATGGATCCCATCATGAACATAATGCAGCACATTCTACCATTTTCTCCTTCACAAAAAACCTGGAACTGATTGCGCTGGTGTACCGGGTCCATTTGAATACATGGAAAACACTTTGCATGCATTTCTGATGATGAAAAAATGCTCTGGACAGCATTTGGACATGGGACAGTTAAAAAACGCTTCTTAATGCAAATGCTTATAAACGCGGTTAGCCATGTTTACACGCGTTCACAAGCATTTGGCATTTGAAATGCTGATAAAATCTACTCCTGAACGCAAGTTTGGTGCATTAAAAAAAACCCGACTGTAAAATCAACTGCCTGTAAACGACGATACACAATGGACACATAGGAAAACATTAGGGAGAGTTCAGGGGTTGCTGAAAAAAATGCAGAAAAGCTCCTAAACGGGAGTTTTTCAGCTGCAGTGTACATGAACCTTTAGCCAGGACAGTGACCGAGCTGTCAATGACAGAAGCTCAAGAGGCTGCAGGATTAGTTCCTGATCATGTGACCACTGTGACAGCCAATCACAGATCCTATCAATGGGATGCTGAGGCTAGGTGGGAAAGGGTTAAGAGTGACACCTATAGGACTAGGGTCACCTTAAAGTATCCCCTATGTGGGAGTACTATTGTTGTATTTTCTCTTCTGCTTTTTTCAATAAAAAATATTGTATCAGAAAAATGTTTTTACTCACGATTCATACAACTTTAACCACCTTCTGCCTGCCCTATAGTAATACGACGGGCGCAAGGTGGTTCTCTCGTTCTGATAGGATGTCGTATGACGTGCTACCATTCTCACTGCGCATGCGCGGCTCAGGGAGCGCGTGGCTCAGGGAGCGCGCAGCACGGCGATCGCCGGTGCACTGTGTCCCTCGGACACAGCGGATCACGGAAAGAGTCGAAGATGTCGGCTCGGTCATGTGATCAGCTGTGTCCAATCACAGCTGATCACATGTGAACACGGAAATGCTGGTTATCGGCATTTCTCTCCTCTCGAGCTGTCACGCTGAGAGCTCGAGAGGAGAAGAGAGCCGGTAATCGGCTTTCCGCGGAGGGGACATGTACACTGATCATCAGGGCACTGATGATCAGTTTGCCCTGATGATCAGTGTGGCCCCAGAAGTGCCACCTGTCAGTGCCCATCAGTGCCACATATCAGTGCCCATCTGAGCTGCCTTTCAATGTCTCCCATCAGTGCCAGTCAGTGCCACCTATCAATGCCAATCAGTGCCACCTATCAGTGCCAGTGAGTGTCGCCTATCAGTGCCAGTCAGTGCCACCTATCAGTGCCAGTCAGTGCCACATAACAGTGCCAGTCAGTGCCACATAACAGTGCCAGTCAGTGCTGCCTATCATTGCCGGCTATCAGTGTTATGTATCAGTGCTGCCTTTCAGTGCCCATCAGTGATGCCTGTCAATGCCCATCAGTGCAACCTACCAGTGCCTCCTTATCAGTGTCCATCAGTGCCACCTATCAGTGTCCATCAGTGCAGCCTATCAGTGCCCATCACTGCAGCCTCATTAGCGCACATCAGTGAAGGAGAAAAATCACTTATTTACAAATTGTATAACAAAAACTAAGAAAAAACTTTTTTTTTCAAAATCTTTAGTGGTTTTTGGTTTGTTTAAGAAAAAATAAAAATCCCAGAGGTGATTAAATACCACCAAAAGAAAGCTCTATCTGTCTCAAAAAATGCAAAAAATTTCATATGGGTACAGTGCTGCATGACCACGCAATTGTCAGTCAAAGTGTGACAGCGCTGAAAGCTGGAAATTGGCCTGGGCAGGAAGGGGGTATAAGTGCCCTGTAGGCAAGTGGTTAAAGTGTTACTAAACCCATGACTCTGCATTCACTATATCTGGTCTCCCACAGTACACACAACATGGAAATGCAATTATTTTAGCAAATATAAAATGCTAAATACCTTTTCTCATCAGCACTTGGAGCAGTCTTGTGATTTCTATCAGTGTTCAGCAGAGCACATGTTAAAGCTTGTAGGAGGAGTTTTCTTTATGCTCTAGGAGGATGCAGAACCCCTGACCGCTGTCTTATTGGCCCTGTGCTGATCACATGCACTCTCCCAAGAAAAAAAAACCCTGTAGCAATACACACCAAACTGAGCATGGGCAGAGTATCTCCACACAATATGACTTATCAGGAGATAAGAGGGGGCCACTGGAAGAAGGGGAGGATCAGAGAAGACAGAAACAAACAGCATTTTTACACAATGCGGAGGATTAACCCCTTAGGTTCCACAGTGAGTATAACAAGCATGCTTTACTGCATATACAGACTGATTTTACTGTTGTGGGTTTAGTAACACTTTAAGTATGATCAATGTTCAAAACGCAAAGGGCTCTGTTTCGGCTACTTTCATACTGCTCCATTGAAAAAATGGTAAAAACTAGACGTGCACTCTGGAAATTTTTGTTTCGCTTTGTTTCGGATGCATTTGGTCATTGAAACATTGTGTTTCATCATATTTGTTAAGTTGAACGGATTTGTTTTCAGAATTCGTTTGGTCTATTCGTTGGTCCAATTGGATTTTTGGATTTTGCTGTATTGCCTCCCTTCATATTGTAAAGCACTGCGTAAACTGTTGCCGCTATATAAATCTTGTATAATAATAAAAATATTCAATATATTATCGAATCGGATGAATTCAAATCAGAAGAATACAATATTTTCAGACACTAGAGAAATGGCATGAGCTGATTGGACAATATTGACTGGTGTAATGATAATTTCATTATAACTTTTTTCTCATTTATTGACATTTGTTACTATGTCCATTGGAGATTTGGATACATCCGAATCTCCCAAAATAGCATTTTCATCCAAAAAAATGAATTGTAATAAAACAAGATGCACGTCTGGTAAAAATGTATATGCATTTTTATCCACGTTTCTGGTGCCTTTTCTGGTTGCCCAACATCGACATGCACCTGTGAAACATGGATATGTGACTCAAAAAACACTGGGTGTGTTTTTGATGCATTTTACATTCATTTCAATGGGGAGGTGCAATTTAAACACACACCTAAAATGCAGCAAGCGGGACTGTTAGAAATGCAACTGAAATGCAACTGACCAGTGGAAAGAGTTCCACAGGATTGAAAGGGATATATTTTTCATGCATTTTTCTTCCACTTTTTGTTAAACTGAAAAACTGATCAAAAACCAATCAGTGTAAAAGGGCCCCTATTAATGTTTTCATAAAGGATTTCCACAATTTTTATCCATTTTTTATTAGAATCTTTTGTGAAAATGGGTGAATCTTGAGTTAAAGTGTTACTAAATCCACAACAGTAAAATCAGTCTGTATATGCAGTAAATCATGCTTGTTATACTCACTGTGGAACTTAAGGGATTAATCCTCTGCATTGTGCAAAAAAGGCTGTTTGATCCTGACTTCTGTGATCCTTCCCTTCTTTCAGTGCTCCCCAATTATCTCCTGATAACACATATCGTGGAGACACTGCACATGCTCAGTTTGGTGTGTATTGCTAGAGAAGTTTTTTTTCTTAATTCTTGGGAGAGTGCATGTAATCAGCACAGGCCCAATCAGCACTGCCCAGACATAGGTCAGGGGTTCTGCATCCTCCTAGACAAAACTCCTCCTACAAGCTTTAACCAGTGCTCTGCTGGACACTGACAGAAGTCACAAGACTGCTCTAACTGCTGATGAGAAAAGGAATTTATCAGTTTATATTTACTAAAATAATTGCATTTCCATGTTCTGTGTACTGTGGGAGACCACATATAGGGAATACAGGGTCCTAGGTTTAGTAACACTTTAAAGGTGTGTGAATTGTGAGTAAAAACATTTTGATGATACAATATTTTTTATTGAAAAAAGCAGAAGAGAAAATACAACAATAGTACTCCCACATAGGGGATACAAACAATAAGGCGTATTGTAAAATTGCAATGTTAATATAAAAAATAAAACAAAGTTTAAATCTGTTAGGCAACAATGACCCTCCGGTGTGAGCCTGAGATCAACACTGGGTACCTGAGTCCTGTAACCCAGGGACTAGGGAGGGGGCAGAAGATGTGGACAAGAAGAGAATAGGAAACAGGAGACAAAGGTAAGGCAAGGAGAGAGGAGTGCCCACAGATTAAAGGACAAGAGAGGTTAACTGGGAATACCCAGACTAGTTGGATGCAGAGTAGGAAGAGCATAAGACCACCACAGGGCCCCCAATTTAGAATGGGTATCATGGAGGGTACTGGTCATCTTTTCATTGACCATTAAGGTTGTCAGGATGCTGTTCACTTCAGCAAACAGAACAGTGTTTTTTTTCTTTCGAGGCCCTGACTGTTGCACATTTCTTGTCAATGTATAGGTAAGTGGCCAGCTTCTGGTGATAGGAAAAGAGGCCTATGATTGGGCAGTGAGGGAGTGCTAGCTTAGTGTCCTTATGAATGGGTACATGGAAGAGTGTGAACAGAAGTCCAAAAACCCTCAACCAGAACACCACTAGACAGGGGTAGGACCACCAAACATGGATCTCGTCTCCACTCTGACCCCAACCCTGAAAGCATCTATCACTATATGATGGATTCAAATTAGCAATGCGTGTTGGGACCCAGTATCAACAGAGGAGGACACATATGAAAGGGATGCAGAGGAGTCACAAGCATTTAGAGAGGAGTAGAAGGTGCCCTGAGCACCAGTAGAGTGCAAGCAGGTGTGTTCAAAAGCCATTTTCTGAAATGGGTAATGGCGTTAAGTCTAAGGGAGGCTATTCTGTGGCACAACTGAATATAGTGGAAGAATTCAGAGGGAGCGCCTCATAGGTCTCTTGGCTGGAAGGCCAAGAAGAAAATGTACGAGACCCGAGGAAGTGTCGGACCTGTGAGAATGAAAGCATTGTAAATAAATCTCCAAAGAGAGAAATGGTAATAACAACATCGCTGCCACTCAATTAAATCTGTATTGAGAAAAAGGTTACAATAACTGTCAAAAAAGGATTAATAGTGCAAGTATAAAAAAAGGGATAGATTCATTAATGCTGAAAGGGGTGTGTCTGAACCCACCAATTGTGACATTGTCATGATCTATTTTTTCCTTTAATTACGTGATACAATATTTTTGAGTGGAGAGCATGATCATTTATTTGCCCTTTTTTTTATTGTTTACATTAATACATTTTTGGTTGTATGACAGCAGTTTCCTTATGTCCTCTCTTTGGGGTCTATTTATCAATGTTTTTATTCAAAATTCTCACAACTTTCATCCATCTTTCTAATTGAATCTTAGGGGATAAAAAAAATGTATCAATGCAAAAGCTACAAAAATATAAGTGTTGCATCAATGGATCCAACTGGAAGTTGACAGTGCGATTGTGAGAAATAGAGGGATAAGTACATTGACAGTGCAAGCATAGATTCACAGTACATGTATAATACATAAAGGGATGGATACCCTGACAGTACAAGTGTAATAAATAAAGGGATGGATACATTGACAGTACAAGTGTAATAAATAGAGGGATGGATACATTGATAAGACAAGAGTAATAAATAGAGGGATGGATACATTGATAAGACAAGAGTAATAAATAGAGGGATGGATACATTGACAGTACAAGTGTAATAAATAGAGGGATGGATACACTGATAGTACAAATATAATAAATAGAGGAATGGATACATTGACAGGACAAGTGTAATAAATAGAGGGATGGATACACTGATAAGACAAGAGTAATAAATAGAGGGATGGATACATTGATAGTACAAGTATAATAAATAGAGGGATGGATACATTGATAGTACAAGTATAATAAATAGAGGGATGGATACATTGACAGGACAAGTGTAATAAATAGAGGGATGGATACATTGATAGTACGAGTATAATAAATAGAGGGATGGATACATCGATAGTACATGTATAATAAATAGAGGGATGGATACATTGATAGTGTGAGTATAATAAATAGAGGGATGGATACATTGATAGTACAAGCATATTAAATAGAGGGATGGATACATTAATAGTACAAGTATAATAAATAGAGGGATGGATACATTGACAGGACAAGTGTAAAAAATAGAGGGATGGATACATCGATAGTACAAATATAAATAAATAGAGGGATGTATACATTGATAGTACAAGCATATTAAATAGAGGGATGGATACATTAATAGTACAAGTATAATAAATAGAGGGATGGATACATTGACAGGACAAGTGTAAAAAATAGAGGGATGGATACATCGATAGTACAAATATAATAAATAGAGGGATGTATACATTGATAGTACAACTATAATAAATAGAGGGATGGATACATTGATAGTACAACTATAATAAATAGAGGGATGAATACATCAATAGTATTATTATTATTATTATTTATACAGGATTTATATAGCGCCAACAGTTTGCTCAGCGCTTTAGTACAAGTATACTAAATAGAGGGATGGATACATTGATAGTACGAGTATACTAAATAGAGGGATGGATACATTGATAGTACGAGTATAATAAATAGAGGGATGGATACATTGATAGTGCGAGTATAATAAATAGAGGGATGGATACATTGATAGTGCGAGTATAAGAAATAGAGGGATGGATACATTGATAGTGCGAGTATAATAAATAGAGGGATGAATACATCAATAGTATTATTATTATTATTATACGGGATTTATATAGCGCCAACAGTTTGCTCAGCGCTTTAGTACAAGTATACTAAATAGAGGGATGGATACATTAATATTACGAGTATAATAAATAGAGGGATGGATACATTGATAGTGCGAGTATAATAAATAGAGGGATGGATACATTGATAGTGCGAGTATAAGAAATAGAGGGATGGATACATTGATAGTGCGAGTATAATAAATAGAGGGATGGATACATTGATAGTGCGAGTATAATAAATAGAGGGATGGATACATTGATAGTGCGAGTATAATAAATAGAGGGATGGATACATTGATAGTGCGAGTATAATAAATAGAGGGATGGATACATTGATAGTGCGAGTATAAGAAATAGAGGGATGGATACACTGATAGTGCGAGTATAATAAATAGAGGGATGGATACATTGATAGTGCGAGTATAAGAAAATAGAGGGATGGATACATTAATATTACGAGTATAATAAATAGAGGGATGGATACATTGATAGTGCGAGTATAATAAATAGAGGGATGGATACAGTGATAGTGCGAGTATAATAAATAGAGGGATGGATACATTGATAGTGCGAGTATAATAAATAGAGGGATGGATACATTGATAGTGCGAGTATATTAAATAGAGGGATGGATACATGGATAGTGCAAGTATAATAGAGTGATGTATTCAGTAATGCATACATGAACATCTTTGAGCTTATTGGTTATGAAAATGTAATGTATTTTATTTTTTAAATACACCATGGGATATTCTTAATGGAGAGCATCAATATTTTTGTCCATTTTGTAACTTTTGCATTAGTGGAAAAGTTACAAAATGGGCAAAAAATTTAGCCTGCTGTCTGGTGATGTCACAGAGCTGGTCTAGGGACATGGGATCGGGATGCACCAAGGTGCTTGGACTAGCAGCTGGCTCAGCCTCTTAGTCACTCATACAGCCCAACTCTCCAGTGAGTGCTGGAGGGGCAGAGCAGAGAGCTGGTGACAGTGACCAGCTCTCTGAAGTCTGAGAGCTGAACGATCAGCGGTGTTTGCTCGGTGTTTGCTCAGTTCTCAGCCCTATACCCAGCAGGGGGCAGATGCAGCATCAGACCAATGCTGCAACCACCTAGGTGTGTTCAATTTTTTAAAAATGTATTTAAACCCATTGTTCTCTTTTAATATATTTTTGATTGTGTGTCAGCAACTTCTTTATTACCCTTTCTCTCTTTTCAAGTTTAATTCTATTAGAAAAATGGATGAAAATTATGTGAATCTTGGGTGAAAAGACCCCTTTGTGCTTTGAACATAGATCACAAAAACTATTGCAAAATACACACATTTAATTACCATCACATAACAATCACATAACTCATACAGAGAATACAGCCAATGTAAGTGTATTACTTCCTGTGACGCATTGTCTGCCTTTGCACTGAAACCTTTGTTATTACTATTTTCTCTCTTTGTGTTTGGAATGTGTATTGGGTTTGGGAGTTCCTTTTCCTGTATGAATTCAGCCATTACAGTATCACAGAAGTGTGTTTTCATGATATATGTCACATCAGTGAATTTACTGCATATTCAAGTTATACTTCCAGTCTCAGTGAAAATAATTCCCAATATTTATCTAATCTGTCTTGTTCTAATTATTATCACACCATGAAATGGCTCACAGCAGTCCTGTATCTGCAGGCGGCTGGTACCATTATGAAGCTGAAGCTGAAATATACTGACCCATTAACACCTCTCTTTGCACGTTAATGTGTGTGTTTTCATGTGCTGACATGCATTACATTGAGGCAGCCCCCTTAAATTTATTTATTTATTTCAGGTACTTATATAGCGCCATCAATTTATGCAGCGCTTTACATATATATATTCTGTACATTCACATCAGTTCTTAACCATCAATGGGCATACAATCTAAGGTCCCTAACTTACATTCATACATACACAT